CCACGGAAATGGTTTTTGGACAAAGCTGGCTCCCTTGGCCAAGAAAGGGAGATGAACACCATGTCCTAAAGTGGGACAAGATGGACAGGGGAACCTTGCTTCATTTTTCGAATTTTCCTGCTATAGTTGCTAAGTGAATCATTGCAGTTGTTAAATTAGTAACATGGTTGTTAAGTGAATCTGTCTTTCCCATTACAACTTTGCTTTCAGAAGGTTGCAAAAGGGGATCACATGACCCCAGGATGTTGCAACAGTCATAAATGTGAGTCAGTTGCCAAGCATCCAAATCATGTGACCAAGGGGATGCTGCAACGGTCATTAAGTGTGAAAAGCTGTCTTAAGTCACTTTTTTCAGTGCCGTTGTAATTTCGGTCACTAAATGAACTGTTGTAAATTGAGGATGACCTGTAATCTAGAGAATGCATCTGGTTGGGGGATGAGTAAACTAAAGTAACATTTCTTGTCAATTTGGGTTTAATTTATAACCGGTATACATGTGCAGTTATGTTTCCATTGGATTCCTATTTTTAAGGGCCCTTCAATCCTACTCATTTTACTCTATGTGGCATCTTAGGTCACGTTCTTAAAATTAGTTTATTTAATTAATAAATGGATTTACTTTTCTCCTGGTCTATCAATGTCTTACATTCATAGATAGAAGACAACGTTAAGTTCAAAAGACTTCTGATTTTCGAAATGTGTACATCTCCTACAAGTTCTCTGAGAATTGTTTATACACGTGTCAAAGTCAAAGGACTTTATTTGGGTCACTGACCAGGCATGTACAGCATAAAATACACACTAACACATAAACAATCATTTTATAATGTACAGTGACATTTGTAAACATATAAAACAGTGCTAAACATAATGTAAAGCTTCTGATTAATCAAACTCTCTGTGTCTTGGTTTATTTGAAAATTTAACAGAATAACAGAGCTGGAAGGGACCTTGGGGGTCATCTACTCCAATCCCCTGCTCAGATAGAAAACCCTATACCATTTCAGACAAATGGGTGTCCAATCTCTTCTTAAAAACCTCCAGTGTTGGAATACCCATAACTTCTGGGGGCAAGTTGTTCCATGGATTAATTGTTCTCACAGTCAGGAAATTTCCCCTTCGTTCCAGGTTGCTTCTCTCTTTCATTAGTTTCCATCCGTTGCTTCTTGTCCTGTCTTCTGTTGCTTTGAAGAATAGCTTGACTCCCTCTTCTTTGGGGCAGCCTCTGCATCCAGTTTTGGTCACCACAGTGTAAATTTATCACATAGAAATGCTCCATTGAAAATCTTTGATCTTTAGCCCTAAAGAACTCATACTTCTATCCCTTTCTAAAGACAGTTGTTTTTTTAAATTTTGAACAGAATCTAACTTTGAGGGTTTCTTTGTTCTGCTTCTTGGCATCTGATAAATAAATACTTTCCTGAAGCTGTCTTAGACTCTCCAATAACTTCCTACTGCTTTGTTACCAGCTTTGTTTGGATGGAAAAGTGGGCAGGAGAGAACAAGAGAGGAGGAACTGGTCCACATACGTTATGTTCCTTCTCAAAAGGCATTTCTCCATTTTCCTTTTTTCCCCCTAAAAGCTTTGCAAGAAGCTTTGAGAAACCCTCTTTCAATTTCTTTTTTTTTTTTTTTGGTAGCTTTTCTTTCTCTCTTTCTTAGTATTCAGTGAAGAACATTCATATTTGTAGTACAAAATAGGCCTCCTTAAGATTCAGAACTTGCCAAGTGTTGGATAAGCTGTAATACAGTCTCTTGTTGTAACCGTACCGTGCTGACACAGGCCTGTTCGGAAAAGGGGGGTGGAGAGAGACAGAATTAAATTCTATTCAATGAATCTTGCAAATTCTTCCTGAACTTTTGCTTGCAGAAGATAAAAACGCTAGCCTATAAATACTCTTGTGCAAGAAAAGTCTGAAGGCATTAAGCTGGAAGAGAGTATAATAATCATATACGGTACAGCTTTGCACATATGGTTTGAATCCACTTCTGCAGCTGTTGCAAGCATGACCATTGGGAATGTGTCAAACTATCTGGAATAATTATTTTATTTTTTAACAACCCTGTAATCCCTTGGATCAGTGTGGAGTCAGGGCAGCTGAATGGAGCTGAGCGTTTACTGGCTGGATGCCCTTCCTGACGCCTATGCACTGTTCACAGCAGACAATTCCTTCTTGCGCCCCAGAGCGAGAAATATCTGCTGCTACCTAGGATCGAACTCACAGCTTCCCTATTGTGAGGCAAGAGCTCCACCTCTAGGCCACCACACCACTAAAAACCATCTAGAATAACTAATCATGGAATAATAATTGTCCCTGTACTTGCATAGGTTGATGCCAGCCTTCCCTTCCGAACTAAATAGGGAAGCCACTCTACATTGCAGAAATGGGCTAACTATCTTTGCCGCTAGAATTGTCCTTGACTTTGGGACCAGAATTTCCATTGCTAAGCTAAGTGCTTGTTAAGTAAGCTGTGCCTGATTTATGACCTTTTTGTGATAGTTGTTAAGTGAATTGTGTCATTGTGAAGCGAATCTGGCTTCTCTCCTTGATTTTGCTTGTTGAAAGCTGGCTAGGAAGGTTGAAAATGGTGAAGACATGAGTCCCAGGATGCTGCAAGCATTGCAAATATATTCTGGTTGCCAAGTGGCAGGATTTGGATCACGTGACCATAGGGATGAGATGGATGTAAGTAAGAGGACCCCCCCCAAAAAAAACCCACTTTTTTCAGTGTTGTAACTTCAAATGCTCAGTAAATGAATGGTTATAAATTGAGAACTGCCTGTAATTGTATCAGAAATATGTTTGATTGCTGGAGAGAATGAGCATGTAGTTTTCTCTTTTTATTAGAGGACAAACACAGAACATCAGAAGAAAAAAATAAAATAATCAGGACAAGTAATTACATAGTTAAAAAGGTTTGATGATCAAAAGAGGATGTATTTTCTGGAGAAATATAATGTTTCTCTTTGTCTTGATTTAATCTATATGATCTGGAGATTGGATTTCATTTATTGTTTGTTTATAAACAGGGCTTGTAAAGTTATTTTTACTTTCATTTTATTGTAAAGGATATTTTTCTTGGAAATAGACATTATCTATGAATTTGATCTACCATATTTTTTGCATTCTTTGGGGAAATATTTAATCTAATTAGTTCTAGTAAGTACTGTATGACACTGAAACAAACTATAAGGGGACCCATGGATTTAATTTAGAGAAGCATATTCCAGCCAGTTATTTTTTAAAAAAATATTAATCCCACATGTCAATTTCTTTCCCTTTTGATCTCTTAGGCTGATAAAAATGAATTTGGCATGCACATTAAGCAGACAAGATGTGCGTGTTGGTTGTTTTTTACATTAACCTGGTTAAAAGGGAGTGCAGTCTTGCCAAAAATGAGATTATGTGTATGTATGGCTCACAACTATGGGATATAAAGGCTTTCCCTGTTCAAAATAGGATTGCAATCCCTCAAACAGAACAAAGACATAGTGGAGAGCCATATGGCTTTTCTATTTAGGAACATCTATTGATAGATCAATTATATTCTTCTAATCCTGGATAGTTCAACCAATTGTGGAACTACTGGTAACCTTTTAATTAGATTATTGTACCTTGAACTGGTCCAGAAGCTGCTTGAAACTCGGATACCTGATGGATGTGGTTCATCTCTAAAATTCTAGGAAAGGTTGTGCTGTAAGTGTTGAGAACTTCCAAGTATTCTGTGATTTTTCTATGTGGTGTTTCTTGGAAGCTGGAAGTCTCACGGTCCAATGACAGTCACAAACCACCCACTGTTAGATCTTTTCTTCCTTCAGGACTTCCCTTTATGAATGTGGGCTGAACGGCTCCTCTTTGTTTTCCTCCCTTCTCCATTTTCCCATGACTGTGTTTTCACGTTTAATGCATTGTTTTTATTACTGTAGTTCGATCTACTATAAACTGCTCTGAGGTGTCATGACACGAGAAGCGGTACCGACGTACGTGATGTAAATAAACTTCCTTTATATTCTTATCAAGCAAAATAAGCCCTTATCTAAGCATCTGCATTGTATAATCTTTCATTTCCTGGAACTATACTTGAAGATTCCAATCTTATGAAATTCACTCCCTTTTAAATACATCTCACCCTCTTTGTAGACCCTTGCCATGGATCTGTGTGGCTGAAGAGAATACTCATTTTAAAATGGTGAAGGTCACTTTCCAAGGTCTGGCAAACTCATTCCTTTCTGTAGGTTGGCAGTGAAACTGCAGTGATGGACTTTCATGACAGCTGAGGGGTCCCCCCCCCTTTTTTTTTTTTTTACTTTTTAGAAAGAGCGATACTGGTTGAAGGAGCTGTTTAAAGAGGATGAAGAGGGCAGTTGTTTCCACTTCTTCTCTTTCAATCTGTTTCTCTTTAGTTATTCTATGAGATACGGAAAAAGTAACTACAATAAATGTTCCTAAAAAGTACTCCTGTCTTTTTTTCCCCATTTACACTTTAATCCTGGATATATCTAAAAATGTACTTTCAAATTAAGCTCAGAAAAAGATCTCTGCTAATACCAATATCAAAAATTTCTAACTGACATACCTTATACATGGCTATAAACTATACAGTAAACTATTGTGGTATTGTAATATATATTGTGATATATTGTGGTATAAGATACCTAAGATATTGGTAACTTATGATTATATTACTTTGTTGTTTGTATGTACACTGAGAGCTTATGGTCTGGAGACAAATTCCTTGTGTGTCCAATCACACTTGGCCAATAAAGTATCCTATCCTATCCTATCCTATCCTATCCTATCCTATCCTATCCTATCCTATCCTATCATGCCCTACTCTACTCTACCCATGAAGATGCACATCTAAAAGCATTTCTTCTACAAGTCTGTAGCTTTCCCAAACATCTGTGAGATTGTGGAGTCCATTTAGTGAAAAATTCTACTGTGAAACCTTCCCTGTTGGCTTAATTTAATTCCTCATTCCTTCTTTTCCTATTGCAGATGGCCATCCATCAAGATATTCTGCTATTACCATTTTAGAGATAAGAGTGGAAAAGGCAATCCAGAAAGGAGAGACTCTGAAATCTAATCCAATTTTAATTACCCAGAAGGTTCCAAACAAACAGAACAAATAGTAAAGATGCCAGAAAATGTTGACTGTGGTCTTCATATTTGCTTGAAAATCAAGGTCATTTGAGGTGAGTTTCTTTATCATTCCTGGTTCAGACTTGTAAGATTCTGTTAGTACAGATCTGGAAATACAAGTGATCCTGATCTATATCGCATTGGTTTCTTAGTCTGATCTCCCTTGTTGGACGGATATTATCTGTATGAATTAAATGGCAGTTGTGTCCGACATAAATCTCTTTGTGCTAGGAATAGTTGTGTGCAATGAATTTGGCTGGTGCAGATGAGTGAGATTATACAGGTAGTCCAAGATTTACAACAGTTCACTTAGTGATGGTTCGAAGTTACAGCGGCCGTGAAAGGTGTGACTAATGACCGTTTTTCACACTTATGACCATTGCAGCATCCCCATGGGGTCAGGTGATAAAAAAAATTCAGACGCTTGGCAACTGACTCACATTTATGATTGTTGAAGGGTCCCCAGGTCACAAGATTCCATTTTGTGACCTTTTTTCAAGCCAAGCCAATGAGGAAGCCAGATTCATTTAACAACTATGTTACTAATTTAACAACTCCAGTGATTCACTTAACAAGTGTGGCAAGAAAAGCCATAAAATGGGGCTTAACATTAAAAAAAAACACTTAACAAATTTCTCACTTAGTGACAACAATTGTGGTCGTAAGTTGAGGAGTACCTGTATTTGATTTAAATGAACTATGGTTCCAAGGCATTCAGTCTTTAAAAAGGTTGTGCCCTTTTTTTGGCAGTGGGTGTTATAGTGAAGCTAGGAATGGGATTGGAAATTTTACTGTTTATGAAAAGGAGTGTCTACTTAGCTTAACAAGCCTTTAGTGAGCATGAAAATGTGCTGATGCATATCTTAAATGCCTGTACCCCATTGCCATGGAGGATGGTTTATGCATGCAGGTCTCTTGGGGTACCTGCAAGAAAGCTCAGGTGTACTAAGAAATAGGTAATGACGTGGGCAGTAAAGAGGATGAGGAAAGAAAGGATTTGTGTGACTGAAAGGCGATAGTCAGCATTCTTATTTAGCTTTTTATTCCAAGCCAAGGACAGAATCAGTAATTCCTAATTGCAGATTACACTTTTATTCATTTCCAAAAGTTGTATTTTGCATTATTATTTTCATTTATTGAATTTGTTAAGGATTGCATTTTTTTCCCAGTTGCATTGGTTTTTATGCAATACAGTGTTCAAAGAAATTTGGGCAGCATCCTGTGGTGATGATAAGAGAAACATTTATAGAAACATTGAAGGGACTTTGGAAAACTAAATGTCTTCCTTCCTTCCTTCCTTCCTTCCTTCCCTCCTTCCCTCCTTCCTTCCTTCCTTCTCCCCCTCCCTCTTTCCTTCTTTCCTTTCTTCCCTCTCTTTTCTCCCCCTCCCTCTCTCCCTCCTTCCTTCCCTCTCTCTCTCTCTCTCCTTTACTTCCCTTCCTCCCTCCCTCCCTCTCTCCCTTCCTCCCTCAGTAAAAACATCAACATATTGGACATTTCTTCTTAACGAGAAAGATTTTTTTTTTCTTTTTAAGTGGATGATGTGACAGAGCATATTCAACCTATGCAGAGGAAGCACAGTAAATGCTTCGCTCTTAAGAAGCTGGGTTTTAACCCTCGTGTCTTCATCTATTTTTGTAGTGCCAAATTAAGCCTGCCAGAAGGACCAACCCTATCATTAAGCCAAATGACAGAACTGCCTTGTGTGGCTGATGATTAAAGATGCTAGTTAAATGCACTGAAGGGCACTAGATTTATTATCAGCATTGAAGAAAATGCCAATGTTTGATAAGTCCATTTTTATTCAAAAAATGGAAAGGAAAAAAAAAACTATCAATTTGTTCTTGGCTTCGAGAAGCAAAACTATCTAGGCTGGCTTTGGGTTCCATCTCCTTTTTTCAGACAAATTCTCCAAGTTTAACAGCTACTTGATAGTTGATATAACTTGGTCATTTCCACTCTGGGTGGTATGGTAAGGACTTTTTGAAAAAAACAAAATCAACTTTCCAAAGTTTGTCTTTCTTTTTCATAAATGGGACAGAAAGAACAGGAGATTATAAAAAAAAAAGAATGTGGGTGATAGCAAAATAGTCTTCTAATCTAAATTGGGCTTTAGTTTTACACTTTTCCTCATTAAAAAGAGTAATAAATCAGTGCTTAGTTCCCACAGCATGTCTGAGTGTCAGAAAACCTAACACATTAAAACAAAATTCCAAATTATCTTTGGATGGTACTGGCTGAATCTATCTTAAGCAAAAGAAGATTTTTTTTTCCTCTTTAGATATTCAAGTAGGACAATGTCTCAGATTCTGAATTAAATTTCCTCCATGGAATTTTGATTGCTCTGCCCCCATGGCATTATTTTTGACCAAACATAACCTAAGGATTTCCACCTATATTGTCATCTGGAGTTCACCTTTCTCATTCTGGTCCTTCACTTTTGAAAGAATAACAATAGTAACTCAATGTCTTATTTTATGCTCTATAACCTAGTTACCGTATTTGCTCAAAAAAAAAAAAAAGATCTTGAATTTAAAAGATTTCCTTCCAACAACTGAATATACTATATAGGTGGAAGATAAAAATTATACATACTGTACACATATATGTACATGAGTAAGGGTATGTGTACACATGTGTATATATATAATTTTCTAGAAATCACATTTCTGAAAGGACCAGGGCTATATTCAAATATAATATATTGAATTTAAAATTCTAATTAATTTTGGTAAATTAATGAAGGTAACCTGTTTTGCAAAATTAACTCATCCCTCATCTAGGTATACCAATAATTTTTTTCCCTCATGCACAAACCGATGTCACAAACAGAAGCACATGCATGCATATTTATCTCTTTCCAGCAAAAAAGCAGGGGGAAAAACAAAGAAAAAAGAGAGAAAGTTAGGACGAGAGGAAGGTATAACTATGGGAGGGAGAAACAGGGGGATCAAAACTGGATAGTGACAGGATGTAGGCTAATAGGACAGAGAAGAAAAGATAATAGATATTATAGAAAGGATTAATTCATCAGGCAAGCACGATCTCCCAACACCCATGATTAATAAATTCTTATTTCTGTAGCCATTTGCACTTCCTTCCTTCACTTATTTTCAGCAAGGTCTTTGTTCATCTTTTGTTACTCTGTGACTATAAGATAAAATCTCCCAAGTCCATAGCTAATTATTTAGGGAGATTAAATCTTTTATCAAGTAGATACAGTATATTTAGACCTTTTTTAAATTTGCAAGTGATAGACTGTCATGAATCTAGCCAGCCAATGTCAATCATATGATGGTTAAGTGTTTGTATGTGTGTGTGAACACATACATATATACATATATACAATGGTGGGATTCAAATATGTGAACAACTGGTTCTCTGTGTGGATGCCGTTTCTGGAAGTCCATGCTGGGCCTGGGCAACAACAAAATTAGCTACTGGTTCTGTTGAAGTGGTAGGAACCAGCTGAATCCCACCACTGCATACATACATATACACTGAAAGAGAATTTTACAATATACTTGGTGTCAAGTATACTTAGTGTCAATTTTTGGGGGGAAAAACACAAATATTTCTCCTCACTTTAACATCACTCAACATCATGGCAAAAGATATAAAAGAAATATCTCTCTGATTTTTTTAATGGAAGTGAAAGTGGAGTCCACTATAGATTAGGCAGGCATAAGTTAATTGAATGTATGAAACATTACTTTGTCTCTTGTCAAAAATTTGCCAAAAACACAGTTTCTTTGGGAAAAATACCAGTGAAAAAATATGAAAGCTATGTTCCGAACAATATACAATAGAGATGCTTTTTTCCTTTTCAGCAAAACATTTATAAAGAAATGTGTTTTTTAAAAAGAACACATTTTTTTAAAAAAAAAAACATTACAGAAAGCTTTGTAGAAAAAAAGTAAACCTTCCAAAATCTGTGTTCAAAACTGTGGCTATTAAAAGAACTTTCATTTAGAAGAGAAAGTTGATGACAAATTAGGAGGGATTTTTTTTAAAACAATTTTTTTTTAAATATGTAAACCCTTTCCACTACTAATGGACCAGAATAATTATCTAAGAAAAATAGTAAAAAAGAGAGATAGGTTTTATAATAATTTGTACATCCCTATTCACAGCTTTCCTTCTAACCAGTACATTACTACCACATGCACGACAGCTCACACATATCCACACATCCACAAAAAACAAAGTTATTTGGAGATAAAGAGTTATTTTTCCACATATGTATGACAAATAATAGAAACAAAAGAAACTTGTAAATTTGATACTGAAATAAGCACACGTCAACACATCAACACTATGTTGATGTTCAACAAGAGACATTCTTATCGAATCAGTACTAGGGGAAAATATCAGACCTACGTTTTAAGCTATCTGAGGCATCTGTACCATACTCGCAAAATAATCAAACTCTGGGATTTTAAGTAATTTCATGCAGCTTCAACATTTACCCTGATTCTTCTGCAATCCATACAACTGGATATAATCTCCAGGCAGAGTTATCGGCACAGGGATCAAAAAAGAAAGGGTACTTTTGTTTTTAATTAATGAATGGATTGTTGTGGACCTCATATGATTCATCATATGAGGTAGGCAGTCATAAAAGTCTTGTGAATAAATAAAGACGTATAAGTCAAGTTGTTGTAGGCACCTTCTTATCTTTTTTGACTCCATTCCTTAGGACACCCCCCGCCCCCAGGTATTTACAGGTAATCTTCAACTTACAGTAGTTCAGTTAATGACTATTCAAAATTGAATGGCACTGAAAAAAGTGACTTATGGGCGTTTTTTATACTTATGACCATTGCAGCATCCCCATGGTCACATAATCAAAATTTGGGTACTGTACTCGGCAGCTGACTCCTATTTATGACAGTTGCAGTGTCTCAGGTTCACTTAACAAACCGTGTTAATAACGGCAATGATTCATTTAACAACTCTGGTAAGAAAGTTCTGGGACAAAATGGGACAAAAGTCACTTAACAAATGTCTCGCTTAGCAACATAATTTTTGGGCCATAAGTCGAGAACTCCCT